ATCTGTAGTATAATACAACATTTCCTTAGCATGTAACTTGTATTGAGTCCAAATATGGGTTACTTAAATTCAGGTACACAATAACAACATCTGTGGAATTTCAAAGAAACTGGACAAGATGAAGATTTACGGCAGGACAGTAGCCGGAGAGGGGGGGGGGTTGTAGTTCGGACGAACTCCTTTTCTAGCAACCCCCTCTTTCCTGTCGTCTAATGGACTGCAAACCCACCAACACTCGTTCAGGATGTTTTAATGTTTTTAACTTACCAAGCATTAAATCAAACCTAAACACCTAATTCAACATTTATGTGTTCAGTATTTTTTTTGTAAATTGATAGATGCAAGCCTACATTCATAGAATATCTTATAACAATTGTAGAAGGTCGAAGATTCTCTTAGCACCTGATCTTATGTGCAGACCTTATTCAAGCAAAACTGCTGTTATCGCATTATTTAGACCCGAAAAAAACACAAAAATTGCACTTGCTTCAGGAAACGTGTTTCTTCAAAAACCAAAATTGTGATTAAATATAACTACAGGAAACTGGTCAGAAAGGGGGTTTAGCTGAACATATTTAATAATGTATGTCTGAATCAGTGTTTGCAAATCCTGTGGTAGTAATGTTTGCACAACTATAAAAATATATATCACCACCACATCTATCATGATCATGATCATCATTGTCATCAGCATGATCATGATAATCATTCGATCATTCCAATTACCATCACCATATCATCACAATCACCTCCACTATGATCATGATGATAATCAAGATGATAATGATGTTACATTATATTATTTTTACATTCTAAAACTACATTTTATTTGTAATTTGAATGTTTCATTGATATAGTCTTAAGGAGGGAAGACGATGACGATAATTTCGGTTTTTAGTTTGTATGAATAAATAATATTAATAATGATCGAATAACTTCAGATCGATATAATAATAATAATAATAATAATAATAATAATAATAATAACAATAATAATAATAATAACAATAATAATAATGGTGTCATTTTCAAGATCAAACGTACTCTTATTAATAATATAATAATATTAATAATTTTAATAATATAATAATAATAATAATAATAATATTATATTTATAACTATAACATTTGTGAGGTCTCACTACAAAATGAGTCTCATCGTTGGAAAATCAAAAAATGAGTTTATATTATATTTTGGTAGATCACATTATAATTAAGCTTTAATTTGATCTTTGAATGGCTTCCCTAGGATAAATAGATCCAGAGATGTTAGCATTTGAAGTTTAGCTGTATGAGAACCAGGTTTTGAGAAAATCGGCCTCAAAGATAAACTAATCTGTACAAATAATAGGACTAGAATTACAGAATATGCGCAGAGAACACTGTTTTAGTAAGAAAATTCACTTAAAAATACACAATCATAAAATATAAGTATTAAATAATTTGAAAACATTAAAATCAAAATTTTGTAAAAATGTTGCCTTTGACATATTTTGGTGAATATCTCAATAGGATTTCACCAACAATGCGTCTCATTTCGTGGTGAGACCTCGCATTTATGAAATTAATAATAAATAATTTGTGTTTCTTTAAGTGCATCTAGCTTATACTGTTAACTGCCTGCCATGCTTCACAATGCATCTAAATGAAAGCGTGATAGAATACTTTTTCAGTTGCCATTGTGATTTCCCAGCGGTTGCACAATCCAGGTTATCTGTTGCCAACAGATCAATAACTCCTCACCTCAGAGATGAATCACATTTTCGTATATAATTTTGTATGCACGCATATATGTAAATGATCATTGAGTAGTGTCCATAGGTGATTTGCAATTGATTATTTCGTGACCATCTTCTTTATGAAAGTTCTGATGAAAGTTCAAAACAAGTGCTAGAGGAGAACTCTACTGCTTATTGAATTCTGTAATTTGCATTCAATTCAAGGAATAAATTAGGATGTTAAATTACATCTCCAGTGAATCATATTCAGATTCAGATGAACGATGCTTCTAAGCGATGTAGGTGAATTTTTCTCAAAGCTATAGAAATTCATTTTCAGGAAAAGCGTTTCAGAAGATACTATAATCATAGTGTGTATAAATATAATATTTGCTAAAATCTTGAATTAATAATGTTGAATCATGAGTGGATTTAGGGAGGGGGATGGGGGGAACTGCCATAATTTTTTTTTTAGCAGACCAACATTGTATCATCACCTGTAAAAAAAAGTAAATAGGTGCTTGGGTGTAACATGGAATTGATGGTAACAATTTTTATAGAAGAAAATCAATTAATTCCAAGGTAATCCCTAATATGTGGATAATGAAAACTATTGATTGACAATGGGTTTGAGCATAGTCACAATGAATTCTTGAATAATAATTGCAAATTAAACATATTTCGAAGAGAGTTTCGTGAATATGCAGGCTTTATCAAGTAAAAACCCATTTTAAGGAGACCACAAAAATGTCTTCTTAATATAGCTGCGAGAAGCATTTTGCAAGTGGTCCATAAGAGCAGCATATTGCTAGAAATTAATTTGGAAAAATGGCATCAAATACCTATTGGCAACAAGCGGAACTGCTGTCCCTATCCTCCTCCAAAGGCAGGGGTGGGGACAGAAGAGGAGCTGGCCACCTGCTTATAAGGGGTGATTAGAACTTTGGCACCCTGCCAAGAGAGAGAGGAAGAGGACAGACACTTGCCCAATCATCATTTGTGGTAATTGAAAACATTACATTCGTGAAACAATGTACATTGGAACCTGAAGAGAGGACAAAATTCAAAATTATTATGAAAAATTAAGGAATTCCTTGAATCAGTGGATCACAAGTAATCTAAAGAAATTTAATAGGAATGTTTGAGTTCTGTTTTCACGATTGTAGAAGTGGTTGGTGCATCGATTGTGGCTTGGACTCCCAACCTTAAGGTCAGGGGTTTGAAACTCTCGCTCTGCAAGTCGCTTGTGTCCTTGGGCAAGGCACTTTATCTACGTTTGTCTCTCTCTACCCAGGAGTTTGGGTACCTGGTAGTATGTTGTGGCATTGAATGTTCTAGTTTTGTGCGCTAAAGAAGTAGCAAACGACTAGGGATACTCCCTGGGAGCAGAAAAGTTGCACTTTGTGCTGGGTTCGCCATTGAGCTGGGTTTGCCATTTTATTGATTAATTAACCTTTTGTTAATGGTTGTTGCTGTAATTGTTATTATTAATTATAATAATATTAACTATTAATTAATAATAAATGTTATACTAATGACTACTACAGTATATGAAAATAATATAACTATGATAATAACAAATAATGCATGACAACTATTTTTTTTCTTTAAATGTTCTTTAAATGTTGGCCCCTTTTTTTCATGTCACGTTTTTCTTTCCCAATTTTGATTGTAATTAAATTTTGTGTGCATTGTTTGGATGATTGAATTTTATATTTGATGATAATAATAATAATAATTACAATAATGATACGGTTACAATAATGATTCCATAAATTAATAATTAAAATAATCAATTTTATTACGTATATGTTTTTTAACCTGTGTACTTCTGATGTTTCTAATTTTCATGTATTTTAAAGTTACTTTTATCTCCATTTTTTATGTCTTGTGCTTGTGTTTGATTGATGTTTTTATATTTACCTACTTGCCTTGTTTTTATAAATATCAATTAATTCAGCCATGGCTGCGATTTTGATGTGTATTTGAATAAAGATAAATAAATTTGAATTAAATTTGAAATTGTACGTTATCCAGTGACCATGGGTAATAACGCTCGCGCCTTTGATCATTCAATTTGTAATTGTCGCCTTATAAATGTTTGAGTATTATTATTATTAAACCTATTTTAAAAACTTGAAGGAATGAATTTAGATGTAGGCCTCATGAGTGAATGAGCAGGCCTAGCCATAGCTTTCCATGAAATCATTACACGCTTTTACTTGTCTGCACTAACCAAATAGTGATTGCTGTATTCTCTCAAAAGCTTGAAAAAAACTTCTTGCTTATTTAACAAATCTCTATCAGAATAGCAAAGGCTCTTTCTTCAAAAGCAATCAAATCTTTATTCATGGTACTACATACCATTTCAACTCTAGTAATTTTTTACATTCATTAATGTGCATTCATCCTCTAGTGTATGATACTATACACAACTATATTAATTCCCTATTTGAAAAAAAGTAAGGAATGCACATAGAATATGAAAATTCTACTATTCATGAAGTTATGAATATTCATGAAGTTATGAATATTGACGACTGCATATAAGCCTTTATTGATGTTGCAATTTCTTCTTGAGGAAATTGATACTTGTGAAATTTTAAATAATACATTGCACCACAGACTGTAGTTTGCAATGTAACAGCTTTAATAGCTGGCAATCTGTGTAGAACAGGTCAAATAATTTGTTTAGTGTTTTATTTGAACCCACAATTTAACCATTTTCTTCATAGTAAATAGTCTATTCGAGACAACACAACTCCAGTTCTTTTACAAATATTCTCATAAATTTTCTTTTTTTATTCAGTCATTGAGTTTTGTTTGATTATTCATATATTTGTTTATTCATTTATTTGATTATTCATGATTGATTTATACATCAATTCATTATATTGTGTTATGGATTTTAGAGGGTTATTACAGATATCAACATCATTCTTGTTTTTTTGTTATGTGGTCCATATGCTATGATATCAAATAATCTTCATTCAGTAATTAATTAAATCATTCATCTATCAAACCCACCCACTGGCTCACTCACCCACCTAACGATGCACTCCATCATGGTCAATCACCCACCAACTCACCCACCGAATTACCCAACTAAATCCCACACCCCCTAACTCACTCACCCAGCTCAATTATCCTCCAGCTCAGTCATTCTACCCACCAGCTCACCCATTTGCCGGTTCAGCCACCTGTGGTTTACTCTGCTATCATGTACTAGAGTTTTATATTAAAGGAAAGTTTGAGGATTAAAAATTTGCTTTGTTCTTGCAGGCTTTTGAAAATGACAGTGCTTCTCTTACTGTTAAGAAGATCAATGGAACAAAGATGGTTTTAGACATTGCTGAAAAAATTGAAAATATGCTTAATAACAAAGTTGAAGCTGTAGAAGTGAGTGTTTTCTTTTTTATTAGCGCACATACAATAGGTTTTGTCAACATCTTAGCCATTGCGTCATAGAATTTGTATCTTGGTGGAGGTTGAATTTAAATACCACAGCATAGAGCATCTGCAAACGCATTATCCTCAAAAACCATGCTTGTCATATTTAATGCAAATTTAATAGAATGAAACAGCTCTGACCCCTGATTTGTGATAAGCTTTTGTAGTCAGACAGTATGTGTGCTGTATAGTGTATGCAAAAGGTTTTAACTCTGGATCCTTTTGGCAGTTGAAATTTTGTACATTATTTATGTGTGTACCAACAACTCTGTCATCCACCACAAGGGCTGTCTATATCGGTATACCGCGGTATCCCCCCCCCCCCCCACTCATCTCGAATGATGTACTGGGTTCTTTATATTGTACACAAGCCATTTTGTACACTGGGCTTATGGTTTATAGTATCCGGGAACACTTGTTCTACTACCAGAACTATGGGCAAACGTGCCGTTTGAACCAGTGCTGGTGTTATGGCTGCACCCTTCTGCTAAGCCCTGGCCCTATTTTCGATAAGGTTCTTTGAGGCAGACTATCAAATTTTATTTGAATAAAACATGTGACATCCATGCCTAAATTAGTTTGATATGATTCCGGAAATGTCCATTGCTAATAGGCTGTCTTACTGCATATCAACAGACGACAATCCAGGGTTGGTAAAAAGTAAATGACAACTGACATTTATGCACAGAGCCATTTACAACCAAAAAAACCCTCAAAAAACACATGTTTCTATTCTAATGCAACATTTTTTTATTCAGATTTAATGTAAATATAAAAAGCAGTGTGCAACTGATGGTGCTTCCACCATATTGTAAGCCATACAAAAAGAACATGCAGTGCATCAACAGATCAACCTGAACACAAACTAAACAATAATGCACACCACAAACACATAATGAAAACCAAACTTGGCTAAAAAAGAGAATGTTTATTCTGGCAGTTGACATTAATATGCAAATTTATATTCAATATTAGTTATTAAATGACTCGCATTGTGACTACAGTTTGACTGACTGCAAATAAGTGCATTTTTATTATTTAATATTTTAATCCCTTCTGTTGATGCTTTCCAAGTACATGTATAGTGCTTTAATCAAAGTTAGATAAAACAGAATGCAGTTAAAAATTGAAGGTAGAATTTGTTTTTCCTTTTTAATGTATAGTTGTATTTAGCATATCGTCGCTCACGAACTAACACAATCAAAGTAGATTGTGTTAGTTCGTGAAATCACAGTAGCGCGTCAAAACGAGCGCGTATTGGTAGTCAAGTAATTTTGTATTCTTTACCACACAAAAAGTCCTCAACGACAACAGCGCGTATTTTGACGCGCTTTTTTTATTTCATGAACTAACACAATTGAATTTAATTGTGTTAGTTCGTGATGTGAGCGACGATATATTGTATTGGTATAGCAAGTTGATTTAATGTTTCAATTTTTTGTTCGAGTGCTCATTTTTCAGGTCTAATAAAATGTGGTTTTGTGTATAATTTTGAGGTAAAATGAATAATAGGGTACATATGAATAAATTTGAATTGATGTAGTTAGTTTCATGTATGTCTCTGCTTTTTTTCTTTTATATAATTTTTGAGTGTTTTTTTTTTAACTGTATGACAGAGAGTATCTGTCATTTAACTTCAAATATTCAATCAAAACATCATACATATGGCTTATTTAAAAAGATCAAAGTATGTTATAGATTCCAATAAAATCCTGTATTGATTACCAGCCAATTAAAGAATCTAAAAGAATATAGCAACTTTATTATTGATACATCTGCAAATTCATTTTTTATTTTCAATTGCAACCTAAGCTTATCCTAAATGTTTAGGTTAAGTAGGAATAAGATATTTTGAAAAAGTATTAACATGCTTTATATAAAAATACATAAAATTTAAAATACACAGCTATTCTAAATGGTTTATCTCTAAAAAAATATACAAGCATTGTACTATCTTTATTAGCCCTCACATCCATTTCAAAGAAATGCTGAATGTGCTAGAGGGAAAAAAAATAGAAAAATTCAATCCAAAAACATTAATCTATTTTAAATGGATGGATGAAACCTTGTCTGCCAAATAAGTAAACCACTACACCAACCTAAGTAGTTGCAACTATACATTTAACAATAAATTATGTACATAGAATTCAAAACATTACATACTGTACTAGGCAGCTGACTCTCAATGAGTTATAGTAAAGTTTTGGTTTAGCTACCCCTGACCAAATTTGGTTGTACAGTATTTTACTTATTGTATGTACATTGGTAAAATAAATATATGAATGAAATGGAATTAATTTAAAAAGTAGTAAATTAAAATTGTACATTTGATATTTTAACAAGCAATTAGAAATTACACATTTATTTTTAATTGCCTTTTATTTTAAACATTAGATTTGTGTATGATTTTGATCTAATGGAGTATTAACCCACAGTATCTTTCTTTCCCGTTATTTGTTTAGTAACATAAAACTGCATGTGTTTTACCATAACTAGGACACAATCTAAATATAGAGCAACATGATTCTACACTTCCAATTTGTTTCTTTGTTTGAGAGTTACACACTGATTGAGCACTCATTTGTACAATTCTTTTAGGTATATGTTTCACCAAGACAAGCCCACAGTAAAGGCCTATACCTCTTTTGGTGTGTTGTTAAATACATCCAAGATTATATCAGATTTCCCTATGTGTCATATTATTGACTGATTTGGTGGCCGTCAATATTGTTGTGAAATCAATAATACAGTGCTCCTCCTTTGCATGGGAAAAACAAGACTAAACAACATTTGTTGAATTGTGTACCAAATCAATATTGCCCGAGGGTAAAAATGTCATGATTTTTGTCTAAAATTTGACATTAAGCAATACAGTACTAGTAACTATACTACCGTGTTTAAAACCATAGTTTTTAAGTTAGCCATGTAGCATATTGTTGTAGGAATTATCTAGTTATTGGCCTAATATACAGTAATCTAACTGAAATACTAATAGCTACAATCTGCGCTTGACCAAAACGAAACTGCTGATCAATGTCATAGGCCTACCCAACAATTTTAGTGAGTGGGCCTGTCATGCCAAAATTGGTTCGGGCCGCAAAAGGTCCGGTGGACAGATTTTGGCCTCCAAAGTCGGTCTGCTGGACTACCGTTGGCTGCCGAAATCGGGTCCACCGGGTGGATTTTAGCCCCCACCCTTGGATAAAATTAGTCCATTGGCTTGGCCGCTTGTAACACGTCTGTTGCCCGTAGGGTATGATTCTTTCTCTCGAGGAGTGAAGGGAAGTAATTTATGCTTCTTCCACACTTTTGCAGTGACAGAATGATTCGTATTAAGCTTTTGTTGACGTGTTTTATCAAACACACCTGATAATGCATTTCCTAGGGCTAGCTACTGTAGGCGACACACAGCATGCATCATTTTTGGCGGCCGTGCTTAGCCTAGGTTTGGGCCTAAAATTTGGGCCTAAAATTTGGACCTAAAATGAAACACATGACTTATTTATTAGTTTTAAATATTCCATATTATTGTGTGGTGTATTTAGATCGTACAATAGTTGTTCTATTACATGAAAATAAAGGGGTCAGTAATTCGTTGCGCCGTTAAGCAAGCACACGACCAAAACAAAACAAAGTAGAAAATAGACTAAAGCGGACCAACACGATTTACATTCTTATTGTTTAACCTCTTTTCTAACTTTTACACCAAAGAGTTTACTGGACGCGAAGCGCGAAAATAACATAGTAATTTTTGTGCTGTATACTCAATTGCACACATAACAAATAAAAAAATAATAAGGGATGAGATATTTATCTATCAGTTGATTTAAAACAAATATGAACAACACTAAAAGAATAAAGGTTATAAGCTAAATAGAAGCCGAACCGAGGACTACATTTAACAGGTAATTTTAAAGTCAAAATCGGTCTGGCAGACCGATTTTGGCTCCGGACCAAATTTTTTCCGACGGACCAACCCTCCTGTAAGCTGGGCCCCACCAGTAATTTAACAGATTGTATTGATTTTGACAAACCAGCTGGATAATTAATTTTCGGCAAAGCATTGGTTGTTTAGTGTTATCCCATTGTGGTGGGCGATTTTGGTCGGATGGAGGTATAAATAATATGTAACAAGTAAAGCTATAATGAAACTGAACTGGTGATGCTGATCTCATGTGCCATCATATTCTATCACTAACCACATAACTTTGCACTCTTTAGATTTGATTCTTCACTTAATGTTTTGATGAACCTATTATCAGCCAATATATATTTTGTTGTAGTAGTAGTTAAATTATTAAAGGAGAGATACCTGGCTTGAGCTGTGTAGTAATATACAGTACTCAAAAGAAAATAATTAGTCAGTGGCATATCCATAGGGAAGTGCATATCCCCCCCCCCCACCTCCATGCAAAACAAACAAATAATTGCATCCCCAGACACCCCTACACTAAAATCTGTTCTAAATTTACGCTCAAATATTTGAAAATCACTTTATTTCACCTTAATTTGCCAGATACAGCCACCCCCTCTCACTTAATATTCTACCCCTACCAGTCCCCCTACAGTACTTCATCATGTCAATACTCCTAGATATGCAACTGATCAAGTTGAGACCAAATTTGTGAACTGATGTAAGTCATCTTTCTTATAGTTCAAAATTGCTCCAAGAAAAGTGCATTTAAGCAAATTATATTGTAATGACTTATTCATAATATCAGTGCAAATTATATCATGCTCACATTTCACACACACCCACACACACACACCCGCACACACACACACACACACACACACACACTTTGATCTGTTTTACTACAATTCTTTTGTATTCTCTATTAATATACTCATGAATTTATAACTATGTTAATTGTATGATGGTAATATAAAGCCTTAATATTTAGCATTTGTCAGCTGAGCTAATTCACTTTGTGAAACCTGATCACACT